ACACACACACAGACGCACACTTCCCTCTTTAGACAGGGTTCCTTACATGGAAGCAGCTCGGGATGAATTTGGCACCAGATTGAATTCAGGCAGGAAACAGAATCCTGATGTCAGATCTGCTTGATGAATAGTCCGGAGATGTTCCCGTCCGTCAGCTCTTTACCTCGCAGCTGCAGCAGCACCTCCACCAGCAGCCACTGCTCAGGTGTTCCTGCAAACCAGGTCATGTGTTCCAGTCTTTACTGCTGCTGCCAACATCTGTCCTGAGCTAAAGCACACACACAGTCAGATTTAACTCGGGAATTATTCCAGAGCGGTGATGACTAACGATTAACTGGCTGCGTGGTAGTAGAAATTAACTGGGTCGAGCTGGTGGATGCCGGGCCGACTGGAGGTCCAAACTGAGAGAAGACGTCTCTGGAATGTCTGAGCTCATCTCCACTTTCAGCCACTTTGCAGTCTTCATCTCGATCCGATCTCCTCGCTCGTTCCATCCTCGGCTCTTTCCAACTCAGCTGTTTCTCACCTCCACTGCTCCGTCACTATCGCAGGCTGCATTATGAGCTTAAACATTATAAAGCTGCAAACGGAGACTGGTACCTGGGACGGTGGGGGTTCTGATAATATTTGGGGAACCTGTTTCATTGGACAGAATCTAGAGCAGGTCGATAACAACTCACAGGCCGGTCCTTGTGTCCTGTAATAATGCAAAAGCACAGTTGCACATGTTGTATATCATCCATATTTGTATCATCCGTATGTTGTGACTGCTCATGCACTTCTGGTTCGATGCAATCTGCATTTTGCTGCCTTGTGACATGTGCAATGACAATAAAGTTGAATCTCATCTGCATGACTTGGCATCATAAAACAGAATTATTTGCTGCAGGTCTTTGCTCCTCCAGGATTTTCTAAAGATTTAACATCGAGTGACTTCTGCGTGTTCTAAGTCTTCTTCTGATCGTGGGTGACACTTTTACCAACATGTAACCCTGACTGATTAAAATTAAACATGTAAAGTTCACCCTTGTAACCCTCAGCAAGAAGTAAAAGTAGAATGTGTGGCAACTTTTTTTAGTTTTGTCTTTTTCTCCAGCGTGAGTGCGCAGTTGGGTTAATGGGACGGGTCACACATCACTATCAAGTAGTAGCAGAAGTATTTCTGGACTTTAGTTTGTTTTATAAGGTGCTTCAGAGGTTCCTGTCAGCGACCTCTTTCCTCCTGGAGGTGAGAACGGACGGAGGGTGTGGGATGCTGTGACAGAGTCAGGAAGGCTCACATTACACTGACTCGGACAGTGTGGGGTTTTAAATAGAGCGGTTGTCAACTCCTCCCTGCACAAATCCTTCTATTTTGGGGACAGCATGTGGGGGTGGGGTTGGGTGGGGGGCAGGCGAGTAGATGG